CCGGGGAACTGATAGAAGAACAGAAGAGAAGCCAGTGTTGGATCAGGCCAGTGGCCCACCCAGCCCAAGATGCAGTGGGATCCGTTTCCCTGGAGGAAATGGAAGGTTCCGAGAGCCCCCCCCCAAACTTCTCCCCCTCCGCAGACACCGCCCCCCCCCCCCAATCTCAAGGAATTTCCCAAATTGGAGCCGGCAACCCTGTGGCTGGCCAGTGGAAGACTTGAACTCCTGAGTGCAGACAGGTGCGTGTGTGGGGGGGGGGTGGACGGACAGAGGTATAATCTCTCTCCCCATGCATGGGGGCTCTGTTCCTGACTGCTGCTGTGGCCAAGAACGGCCGGAGGGAGGAGAGAGAGAGGCGAGCGGCTTGCAGTCAGATAGGAGGACCCCGAATTGCCTTCCTGGATCCGACCAAAAGTTCAACCCTCTGTTTTCCCCTAGTAAATAGCTTTGAGACACTTTTAGTTGTCAGGGTGCCTTCCCTGTACATAAGGACATAAGATAAGCCAATGTTGGATTAGGCCAAAGGCCCATCCAGCCCAACACTCTGTATCACACAGTGGCCAGAAATACCAGGTGCCATCAGGAGGTCCACCAGTGGGGGCAGGGCACTAGAAGCCCTCCCACTGTTGGCCCCCCCAAGCACCAAGATGACAGAGCATCACTTGCCCCAGACTGAGAGTTCCTATCTATGCCTTGTGGCTAATAGCCACTGATGGACCTCTGCTCCATACGCTTATCTAATTCCCTCTATAGACTATATCTATAGTCTGGAGATCAGCTGTAATTCCAGGAGACCTCCAGCCCCCACCTGGGGGTTGTGTAGAAACGACAGAGAGATAACGGGAAGGATGCAGTCAAATAACAAAAAGAAGAAGAAAAGAAGAGATTGGATTTATACCCCGCCCTTCACTACCCAAGGGAGTCTCAGAGCGGCTTACAGACTCCTTTCCCTCCCCCTCCCCACAACAGACACCCTGTGAGGTGGGTGGGGCTGAGAGAACTCTGACACAAACTGCTCTTTTTCAAGGACAGCTGTGCCAGAGCTTGTGACTGACCCAAGGTCACATCAGCAGGTGCAAGTGGAGGAGTGGGGCAATCAAACCCGGTTCTCCCCGATTAGAGTCTGCGCACTTAACCACTACACCAAACTGGCTCTCATGATGTTGTGTTATGAAAATATATTTAGGCTTCAGTTCTGCAGTGAATGTATTTCTTCATCACATTATGAAAACATGCACATACACTTTCTTCATCCCATTATGAAAACATGCGCACAGACATAACGGGGTGAAGAAATCTATTCACTGGAGAACTGAAGCCTAAATATATTTTCATGATACAACATCACGGTTGTTTTTGTTATCGACCCCACCTGGAGGTTGGCAACGTAGGGTTTTCATCCCCCAATGGGGGCGGGGTCCCCCCCGATTTTGGGGGGGCCAATACCCCGCTGGCAGAAGGTAAGGACCTGGTGACCCCTATGGCAACGGATTCTACAGAAGTGCCTTTTGTGAGCAGACAATTCAGTCTGGAATGATCTCTGTGTGTTGCAGGTTATGGGGGTGGGGCTTTATAGAGGCCATGCACCTCCGCGGAGCTGTGCTGACCACTGCCTTTCCCGCCACAGGAGGAACGGACGATCTCTCATTTCCAGTACGTGGCTTGGCCAGACCGGGGCATCCCCGACACCTACGGCTACTTCCTTAACATGATTGAGCAAGTAAGGTGCAAGCAGGGCGAGGACAGCGTTCCCATCATTGTGCACTGCAGGTAGGGGGCGCTCTCGGGACAAATCACAACAGATGGGCTGTACTTGAACCTCTCCCACTCAGGTTAAGAGAAACAGCAGCTCTTGGAGAAGAGCTGGCCAAACCTTTCTGAGATTGGCTGGGCAGGTGGGCTAGTAACAGACCAAAGGGGCCAAGAGACTCATGCCAACAACATGGAGGCTGAAGCATCGTGGCAACACAGCCATGCGTGCCCCTGACTACTGGACAAGCACAGCCTGCTTTATCTGTCACAGAGGACTGTGCTCTGAAGAGCTCAGGGTGGCATGGCATGCATGGTTCCCATTTGATCCTCACAATGACCCTTTGAGGTAGGTTTCTAGAGTTAGCTCTCTTCCTCTGGGATCATGGGCTTTTAAGTTCCTGTTTCTCTGGGGTTTTAATCTGCAGGGAGATAGGGTGGACATAAACCAGTGTAATATCGAATCGACCATTAGAGGGAGCAAAACATGTGCAGAATAGAAAACAAACCTGTAGAAACGGGAACACACAAGGGAGGAAAATGAGAATGTGGGAAAGCCCCAGGTAAAGCCCCCCACCTGGATTGATCCTAGACGTACCCGTTGGATACTTTGATACTAAAGGATGCACAGCATTCAGTATACGTGCAGCAGTGGTCAGTAACCTGTCCCCTGTGGAGCTTAGATTGACACCAATGTTCCCTCTGAGCTGTGGAGTCTTGTGAGCAAAAATTCTACTTTGTGAGCTACTGGCATTAAAGTTGTGAGCGAGCGATTTGGCTATTGCATAAATTAGCTTGCTCTGGAGCCATCCTTCCTGAATTGGACAAAAATGTGTGAGCTGGAGGCTAAAAACTGTGAGCTAGCTCACACTAACTCAGCTTAGAGGGATTGACACCCTCTTTATTTATTCATTTTTTATTATTTTCTTTAAGAAAGGTAGGATACAGGAAGGAAGCAAGGGTAGGGGGGAAATATAGATAGATTCATCAGGTTTGTCATATATTGTGAGTTGTTACGTACAACAGGTAAAATCAGATGTATTACCAAATGTATTACACATTTCAAATATAAAAGCAGACAATAAAACATCAACATTACAGAATTTTGGGATAGATTCTCTCTGTAAAGAATAAACAAGAACTCTCCTAAAGTGAGGGATAATCTATTAACGATTAAAGAGATTACATGTTTAATTAATTGAACGAACTCCTATGCTAAAATTAAATCACTGTGAAAACCTCAATATTGTCCTAATTGTTTATCTAAATCTAAATTTGTTCTTACTAATTATTTGATTACTAGTGGAATGCAAAATAAAGTGTTGAAACTGTAATCAATATCTTCATCGCCTTGAATATGATATCCGGGTGATTCCAGAACTTTTTAAAAAAAGGTTAATTATTCCCATAGTATGAGTAAGAAGCTTGCCATTTCTGCTGAAATTCTTTCAGTGGTCTTTTGTTTATATCATCGGTTGGTTTTGCCACTGTTGCATACTCAGCTAGTTTTTCTTTCCAGATCTCTATTGTAGGACAGTCTTCTGTCTTCCATTTCATTGCAAATATTATTCTAGCAGCTGAGATTGACATCCTCTCTATAAAGGCTGGGAGCAGGGTTGCTAACTTCCAGGTGGGGGCTGGAGGTTTCCCTGAATTACTACTAGATAGATCGTTTCCCTAGAAAAATGCCGGGCTCTTTTTGTAGGAGGTGCTCATTTGCATATTAAGTGACACACCCCTAATGTAGCCAATCCTCCAAGAGCTTACAGTAGCTCCTGTAAGAAGAGCTCTGTAAGCTCTTGGAGGATTGGCTACATTAGGGGGTGTGGCCTAATATGCAAAGGAGTTCCTGCTACAAAAAGAGCCCTGCGGGAGGGCAGCCTCTGTGACATCACATCCCTGCCGAACTCCCTCCCTTCCCCAAACTCCCTCCTCTCCATGCTCCCCCCACCCCCAAAAAATGTCCAGATATTTTCCAGCCCCAAGATAGCAACTCTAGCTGAGAGGATGATTCCAGAGGTGGAGAGGTGAGTGCGACTGAAGTGTGTGTTCTGCTGGCCCAGAATAACCCAGGAGATCAGGGGGTGAGGTGGAAACGTATTGATTTAACTTGTGATCTGAAGGCAGCCTGGAGATTTCCATACAAGGGCAGAAAACTTTAATCCATTTGATTAGTCAGTTATTCAAATGCAGCTTTAATCACAGACTCAAACACCCCATCCGATGATGAATTGGGACACAGCCTTCAAAGAAACAGCGTTTCCCCCCCCTTTCCTTAAACAGCAAGAACTTCTAGAGAGAGCATTTAATATGATTTGTTTACTTAGAACATTTGTATAGTCCATCTTTTTCCTGACACAGTCAGGATTCATAAGAACATAAGAAGAGTCCTGCTGGATCAGACCAGTGGTCCATCTAGTCTAGCATCCTGTCTCACACAGTAGCCAACCAGTTCCTCTGGACAGCCAGCAACAGGGCAGAGAGGCCAAGGCCTTCATGAGAACATAAGAAGAGCCCTGCTGGATCAGACCAGTGGTCCATCTGGTCCAGTATCCTCTCTCACACAGTGGCCAACCAGTTCTTCTGGAGGACCAACAACAGGGCAGAGGCCAAGGCCTTCCCCTGATATGAACCTAAGAAGAGCCTTGCTGGATCAGACCATTGGTCCATCTAGTCCAGCATCCTGTCTCATGCAGTGGCCAACCAGTTCCTCTGGATGGCCAACAACAGGGCAGAGACACTGAGCCCTCCCTCTGATGTTGCCTCCGAGTCCTGGCTCTGGGATTCCTGTGGCCATCACTAGTAGATAACTCACTGAAAATGTCGGGACAGTGTGTGACTGCAATAAAGAAGGCCAATGCTATGCTGGGGATTAGTAGGAAGGGTATTGAAAACAGATCAGCCAATATCATAATGCCCCTATATAAATCAATGGTGAGACCTCATTTGGAATACTGTGTGCAGTTCTGGGCACCACACCTTAAAAAGGATATTATAGCTTTGGAAAAAGTGCAGAAAAGGGCAACTCGAATGATAAAAGGGTTGGAACACTTTCCCTATGAGGAAAGGTTAAAGCGCTCAGGGCTCTTTAGCTTGGAGAAACGACGACTGAGGGGTGACATGATTGAGGTTTATAAGATTATGCATGGGAAAGAGCAGGTAGAGAAAGAGGTACTTTTCTCCCTTTCTCACAATACAAGAACTCGTGGGCACTCCATGAAATTGCTGAGCGGTCGGGTTAGAACAGATAAAAGGAAGTACTTCTTCACCCAAAGAGTGATTAACACATGGAATTCACTGCCACAGGAAGTGGTGGCGGCTACAAGCATGGACGGCTTCAAGAGGGAATTAGATAAGCATATGGAGCAGAGGTCCATCAGTGGCTATTAGCCACAAGGTATAGATAGGGACTCTGGGGCAAGTGATGCTCTGTCTTCTTGGTGCTTGGGGGGTCAACAGTGGGAGGGCTTCTAATGTCCTGGCCCCACTGGTGGACCTCCTGATGGTACCTGGTATTTTGGGCCACTGTGTGACACAGAGTGTTGGGCTGGATGGGCCTTTGGCCTGATCCAACATTGGCGTCTCTTATGTTCTTTTGTTCTTATCTGCTGGCAGCAAATTCCACATTTTAATAACTCTGTGTAAAGAAGTGTTTCAAGGCAGGTGATGACGATACATCAAAAATAAAACATTATCATTAAATAGATCAAAACACTTGATCTGAAAGGTAATTAAAACAGATCAATAAAACCATCAAGCCACAGCCTGTTCAAGCTTCCCCCTAAGCTCTTTGGAACCATTATCCCTTCTACAGCTGCGCCGGAAAGCCCCAGGGGTAGCTGCCTGCCTCGCCCTTCTCCTTCTGGGTGATTAATTCAGGGTCTGGGATGAGAAAGCACCGGGGATTTACGGTGTCTTTGTAATATTTGCTTTATTTACATGCAGATCAAGTTGTGTATTTGTTAAGTTCCGTCAAGTTGCTTCCAACTTATGGTGACCCTATGAATTAATGACCTCCACCAAAACGTGCTGTCGTCAACAGCCTCGTTCCGGCCTTCCGCCATGCAGATCATAGTGGAAGCAAATGCGTTACCCACAAGCAGGCAGCATCAGATGCGTCAGATCTGTTTTGTGTCATCCATCTTGAGCCCCAGCGAGAAAGGCAGGGTCGGGGGCCCCAGTGTTCCCTCTAAGCTGAGTTAGTGTGAGCTAGCTCACTGTTTTTTAGCCTCCAGCTCACACATTTTTATCTTAGATGGCTCCAGAGCAAACTAATTTATGCAGCAGCCAAATTACTTGCTCACAACTGTATTGCCAGTAGCTCACAAACTAGAATTTTTGCTCACAGGACTTCACAGCTTAGAGGGAACAGGGGCCCCAGGGTTCCCTCTAAGCTGAGTTAGGGTGAGCTAGCTCACAGTTTTTTAGCCTCCGGCTCACAGATTTCTATCTTGGCTCAGGAAAGGAGGGCTCCGGAGCAAACTAAATTTTTCCCCAGTATGGTTTTTTAAAAAAATTTCAAAACAAACAAACATAAAATTGGAGTACAACTAGGGTTGCCAAATCCATTTACCCCTCGGAGCGGGAGAGTCTTGTTGGTGTCCGGGAGGTCTGTTCGGGCGCGCACGCGCGCTGGCAGGACATCACCAGAAGTGACGTGTGACATTGCTGACGTTGGGGGCGTGGCCGAGCTCGTCGGGGGGGGGGGAACCATATGGTGTTCCCTTTTGCCTTGTACACCCCCAACGTCAGCAATGTGGCTGCGTCACCTCTGGTGACGCAGCTTCGGGGGCGGGGTTCCCCCCGGGCCCCGATTCCGCCGGGGCGGAAATCGGGGCTCTGAAGCGGGGGATTCCCCACCCCCCGGGTCCATTTGGCAACCCTAGGTACAACACTGCATATCAATCTTTCCCTTTGTCACAGTACCTTATACATTATCTGAATCTATCTATTTTTCCACCTTGTGCTATCATAAAAAGTTTGCAAATATATGGATATACAATTTCTGATTTTCTACTAATATGGACTTTGTCTAAACATTTTATTAAATTATTTCATTAGATATATAAGAATGTATAGTACGCTCTTACTCCATCAAAAGTCTCAGGGCCTCCCTCAATAGAAATATGGTAAGGTCTACCTCCATCAAAAATCTCAGGAAAGGAGCAAACTAACTGATGCAGTAGCCAAATCGCTCGCTCACAACTTTAACGCCAGTAGTTCACAAAGTAGAATTTTTGCTCACAAGACTCCACAGCTTAGAGCAGCGGTTCTCAACCTGCAGGTCGCAACCCCTTTGGGGGTCGAATGACCCTTTCACAGGGGTCGCCTAAGACCATCAGAAAACACAAATTTTCGATGGTTTTATGATAGCAACGAAAATAATTTTATGGTTGGGGGTCACCACAACATGAGGAACTGTATTAAAGGGTCGCGGCATTATGAAGGTTGAGAACCACTTGCTTAGAGGGAACGTTCAGGGCACTTTACACACAGATAAAGCTGGGGCCAGCAACTGTTCATCCCTGGGTCCGTTCCACTTCCTGAGGGCTTTGCCCCACCCTCGCCTTCCATTGGCCTTCTGGGAAAAACCAGTTGCAGACCAAGGTTGCAAGGTTTTGCAAGGCTGAGGATGTCCAGATTAACGGAATTCATTCCCATTATCTGGCAGGACACTGCCCCCCCCCCAAACTCCCCTGCAGGAAAATCACTTCTCCTATACAATTTATGACATATGTACTGTGTTTGTTCATAATATGGATTATCTATAATTTTCAGTAGCAGGGTTGCCAAGTCCCTCGGACCTGCCGGTGGGGGATGGGGGGTGAGCTTACTGGAAGCAAAGAGGAGTGCTGAAAATAAATGTGACATGCCTACGTGACCCGGAAGTGATATAGGCAAGTTGGGGGGGTGTTCTGGTTTGGAGGCAAAACTCTATGGTAGAAGCTAAGTCTACCATAGAGTTTTGCACAAAAACCAGAGCGCCCCCCCCCATGTCACCGAGGTACCTGTGTAACCTCTGGGTCACGTCGGCACGTTGCATTTATTTCTGGCCTCTTGACTGTTGGGGGGGGGTGTAATTGTGGAGCGGAGAGGAGTGCCCAAAACCAGGGGACACACACACCCCCGCCCGCACCAGGGGATCTGGCATCCCTATTCAGTAGTCTGATGCTTTCTGGATTAAAAACGTTGACTGCGTGCCACCAAAGCACACAGATCATCTGTGACTCACTAACGTGGCCTTTTTGTAGCACAGCCCTCCGTGCCAAACAAACGGCCTGTTGGCTCCCGCATTAGAGGGAGAACTTCTGTTGCTTGCATTGCAGTTCTGGTCCCGAGCAGATCTGAAAGCTCTGTCATTTTCAGGGGCTATCTTTCACACTCCTCTTGTCCTCTTTGTTTTTCAGCGCCGGCTGTGGCCGGACGGGTGTGATCTGCACGTTGGACTACATCCGGCAGCTGCTGCTGAAACAGGTACCGGCAGCCTCCCCAGTCTGCGGTGGCTCCCTGAAAAGGAAGAAATGTCTGCAGGCTGGCTCTGCTCTGATCTCCGGGTGCTTTAGACCTGGTGATTACGCGGGCAAAACAAGCATGTACGATCCTGCAAAGCTTGCGCCAGTGACATCACATGTGAACAGGGAGTGTGCTGGAACATGCTTCAGGACAGGGCCGCTTCCAGGTTTTGAGGGTTCTTTGGAGGTTTCCAAACAGAGGCTAGACAGCCATCTGACAGCCATGCGGATTCTGTGAACTTAGGCAGATCGTGAGAAGGGAGGGCAGGAAGGGCTGCCTCAGGGCTTCGTTCTCGTGGCCCTTTCTTATATGCCCAGGGAAATGCCGATCACCATTTTGGGGTCAGGAAGCAATTTTTCTTCAGGCAGGTTTGGCCAGGGATCCATGAGGGGGGTTTTTTTGCTGTTGCCATCTTCTGGACATGGAAGAGGGGTCACGGGGGGTGTGGGTGTGAGGGGTACTTGTGAATTCCCTGCATTGTGCAGGGGGTTAGACTAGGTGACCCTGAAGGTCCCTTCCAACTCTATATGATCCTGTGATTCTAGGGATCCCGGGCAGAGTGTTCCCAGAGCCCTCTTTTCCCCTTCTACCCACCACCAGGCCTCCCCACCAGTGTTCCCTCTAAGCTGAGTTGTTGGGGTATTTTTTGCTTTTAAAATTTTTATTAAAAGCAAATATAACATATAACATGTACGATACAATATCTGCAATATCTGAAATTTATAATTGCATGCTTCCACAATTTGGAGGCAAGTTGGTCATTCTCCTTAATTACTGAAAAATAGGTAAAAGATTCCTATTCTGCTTTTTAGTTTTGCATAAGATTGCAATAAGAGATGGCCTCCACCAACCAGCGTTCCCTCTAAGCTGAGTTAGTGTGAGCCAGCTCACAGTCTCTTAGCCTCCAGCTCACAGATTTTTTTTGTCTCAACTCAGGGAGGGACGGCTCCAGAGCGAACTAATTGATGCAGCAGCCAAATTGCTCACTCACAGCTTTCATGCCAGGAGCTCACAAAGTAGAATTTTTGCTCGCAGGACTCCGCAGCTTAGAGGGAGCACTGCTCCCCCCCCCCCCGGGGCCCCCTCTCCCTCCCACCCACCGCATGCCTCCCAACTGGCTGTGTGTCCTTCCCCTGCCCACCTGTGAGCTCTCTCACTGCCCATGCTCGCCGCTGCCTTTCCCCAGTGGCCCTAGGCAGTCTGTGTAGCTGGGAACACAGTGGAGCTGGGGTTGCCAGTCTCCAGGTGGTGGCTGGAGACCTCCCGGAATTACAACTGACCTCCAGGTTGCAGAGATCCGTTCACCTGGAGAAAATGGCCCCTTTGGAAGTGGACTCTATGGCATTAGACCCTACTGAGGTTCCCCCCCTCCCCAAACCTCACTGTCCACCCCCAAAATCTCCAGGTATTGCCGAACCCAGTGGAGCGCTAGCAAACAATTGTGTGTGGGGGCCCTGCCAGAAGCCTTGGCCCCGGGCAGCAGCCCCATCTTAGTGTACTCTGACGCTGGCCCCCGCTTCAGGAGGGGGAGCATGTGCATGGATCACCCGCACATAAACTGGAGTTCTGATCAGTGTTCCCTCTTAGCTGAGTTAGTGTGAGCTAGCTCACAGTTTTTTAGCCTCCGGCTCACACATTTTTGTCTTGGCTCGGGAAGGATGGCTCCAGAGCAAACTATTTATGCAGTAGCCAAACTGCTCGCTCACAACTTTAATGCCAGTAGCTCACAAAGTAGAATTTTTGCTCACCAGACTCCACAGCTTAGAGGGAACATTGGTTCTGATGCGTGTTGGGCTTCCAAGTCAGATCCATTCTTGCCTAGCTGGGGGAGGAGGGAGGGGGATTCTGGGAGGAAAAGGAAACGAGCAAAACAGTTTTTGATGATGCTCGGGTCGAAATAGGGTTTCCACCAGTGTTCCCTCTGAGCTGAGTTCGTGTGAGCCAGCTCACCGTTTTTCACCCTCCGGCTCACACGTTTTTGTCTTAGCTCAGGAAGGGATGGCTCCAGTCCAGCGCAAACTCATTTATGCAGTAGCCAAATCACCTGCCTGCTCACAACTTTAATGCTGGTAGCTCACAGAGTAGAATTGTTGCTCACGGGGCTCCACGGCTTAGAGCAGGGGTGTCAAACATACGGCCCGGGGGCCAGAACTGGCCCGTCCAGGGCTCTTACATGGCCCGCGAGCAACTGGTGAAAGGGAGGGGGTGCTGCAGGGAACATGCAGAGCCACTCCATTGTGGCTTCAGCACGGCAGAACAGCCTCGTCTGCAGCAGTCAAGCATCGTGGGGACATCTGCCCAGGGCTACACTGCTGCCTCCCCAGTCTGCCTATGTGGGTTTTCCTCTCCATCCCCCCTCCGTATCCATGGGGCCTTGCAGTGAGGATACACCAACTCGGAGCTTACCAGCTGCTGTCCTTTATACAGTTTGTATCTCTGGTACCTGGCATTATGTTTTATGGCACACCTGGCCCGGCCCAACAAAGTGACATTTCTGTCAGATCCGGCCCTCGTAACAAATGAGTTTGACAGCTCTGGCTTAGAGGGAGCATTGGTTGCCATCCCCTCGATGGGGGCGGGTTTTTCCCCACTGTCAGGGGCCCCAATCTGCCGCTGGCCAGCTGGCCGGGATGGAAGCCTCCCCCTCCGAAGAACCCCATTACGCCCAACATGCCCAGCGTGATCATACCAGGCTCTTGTGTGGGAGACGCGCCATCATTTGAGTAAAAACTCTGTGGCAACCATAGAGATTTTTACCCAAATGCTAGAGCGTCCCCTGAACGACATGCCTGGCGCAATGACATCACTTCCGGGAGCCAGGCTGGAGCCCTCCACCGGGATGCAGGTTAAGACCTGGCAAACCTAGATCGAAAAGATAAATGTGACCTGGATCTTTTTTATGCAAGTCGAGCTTGTCACATAGTGATGACCAGGGCTTTTTTTGTAGAAAAAGCCCAGCAGGAACTCATTAGCATAATAGGCCATACCCAACAGCAGGAACTCATTAGCATATTAGGCCACACCCATGACAACAGAGCTCATTAGCCTATTAGGCCACACCCCCGTGTTACCAGAAGTGTGGTCATCCAGCCACACCCACCTTTTGCTTCTTATTCTGTTTACCTTGTTTGTTGTCAAAACCCAGGGCTTTTTTTGAAGCAGGAACTCCTTTGCATGTTAGGCCACACACCCCTAATGTAGCCAATCCTAATGAGTTCCTGCTGTTGGGTGTGGCCTATTATGATAATGAGTTCTTGCTGGGCGTGGCCAACTTGGGAGCCAGCCGGAACTCCGTTCCTGTGCGTTCCTGCCCAAAAATAGCCCTGGTGATGACAAGCCCCACTGCCATTCAACAGGAATCTTTGATGGCCTGCGGGGCTCTTTCTTTGGTACAAGCCGACTCCCTGCTGGACGGGTGGGAAAGTCGAGAGCTTGAGTCTTGATGCTCCAGGTCCGGAGGCAGGAAGCGTCTGTGCCTGTCCTCGCGGCTGGGAAAGTGAGGCTGGGAACCGTGGAAAGAGCCAAGAGGACGATAAAAGAAGGATGGTAACTATCCCCCGGGAATGACGGCTCACACCACTTCAAAGCTATTCTCCGTCACCAGCCTGCGTCACAGACCATACTTTTAAATTATGCTTTTCGGTAGGCAGGGAGAGACGCTGTGTTCCCCTTTGATGTGCCTGTCTTTCCTGTTTACCCCTTTTCTTCGTTTTCTGTTACGGCCAATGGCTGCTACAGAAAATAAATCTCTATGGCTCCGGGTATACAAATGAAGGGGTGCAGACGTACTTCAATGATCACTGTTGGAAGCAGTGAGAATTCCTGATCCTTCGGGGAAATGTCAGGTCTCTGTTGCCCAACCCCAGAAGCCCAGTCCACACCCAGCATCTTTTTGCATACTTTTCCTATGGGGTGTGACCAGGGCATGTTCAGGAGCTTTCTTTGTGAGTTCCCAGCTG